AATCATGAGATTATACTTTAAATCGAAAGTTACTTTTAAATAAATATTGTGGTGTGCGCTACTTATAAGTAGTATATGACGTGAGTGTAAACGTAATGTCTGGCAGCAGAAGATGGGGTAAGATCAAGAAAGGAAGAGTGGGAACACAATGGAATTTGTATGAAACGCATGAATAGTGAAATGTCAGACAATGGATTGATGATGGATTGAAGATTTGCAAATGAACGATTTACGATATGGTTTTCCAATTTTACTGAGTAACTCTGTAATTTTCGTTAAATACAATTCGGTTACCCTCACCTGTGTTCTCCTTCACTACAATATGACCAGAATAGATATTACGTCTCTTGAATATTACCCTACCAACAAAATGCTAAGAATGAAGCGTAGTTATATTTAAGTGAGAAATAATTACAGTTAATAATGCCAATCTCTTTTAACTGTTCAAAATGTTATTCCCGAACGCTTTTTTCTAGCATTGTCATTACATTTACTCAATCAATTTAATATTAACTTGTAAGTATACTTCTTGTTTTATTCAATCCGAAAATCAAGAGAGATAGATTGATAGAGTTTGTTTATCAGAATCAATTGATACGATGTGGAAAATTGAAGCATCACCTACTATTCTATACTAGTATGTAGTGACAATAAGATAATTCCACTATAACTGGTAGAAATTTCAATTGATGCTAACTTCTCAATGTCAGAAATTAGGATTATAGAAGGTTTGTCGCCTGATAGTAAACCTTTTACCTTCTAGGAAATTCTTACGATGAAACTATTCAGTTTTTGATGCACATAGCAGAACCCTGGAAAAAATATCAAATATCTGCAAACAAATTCCTGGAGCAGATATTTGTTGGGAGCTATATATACAAGTTCAAACTAGCAGGGTTATCGATAGTAATTTATTTTTTCCGGGCTTTCCAGGAAAAAGTTTACCTCAATCGTAACGTTACTTAATGCGACACTGGGTGTTTTGACTCTTACATGCAGTATTAGCTCCCATAGGATTATAGATGCCCCCTGATGGAGATACATGAAATCTTAACACAGGGTTTGCTGCCTACTCTCTTCATTCCCCTAATATTCAGGTACAGTATATCCGATTTTGAGTCACGTAGACCAGTAACTAGGACAAAAAATTTCAACTGTTTAACTGAAAAAATAGACCGATATTGCTAGACGCAAGAGAACGAAAGTAAGACTGCAGAAAAATGCTTTATTATACATAAACAATAAAGTTTGCACATTGATCAACAATTATACGAAAAATATGATGGATCATATCAGATTTATTTAACTGATCATTAGTCAAATGTGAATACATTGATCTGGTCACTATTCCAGACAAATTAATCCATAACTCAATGTATGTATAAAATTTAACTCGGCGTGGAGACCTTTTAGGATTATTTAAAGATTCCAAGTCCTGATAAAGGAGGAGGGTTCGGTATGGGGTTAGTGATTTCATCCCGTAGAAAACCAATTTACTAACAAAACTTTGACCAGAACGAATAATTCAAACCATTCGAACTCTGTCCTGGGAGTTAGAAAGTCTTCACTTAAGAAAAGTTATGACGCCTTATGATGAAAACCGAGTCATAAGGCCGATGGCTCTTCTTACAACCAAAGCAACCATCAATATGGGCACAGAAAATGTTTACTCAATGTGGGAGACCATGAGAACTATCCAGGCTGCTGCGGAAATGCGAAGATACAACTTGATGGGGCTTCAAATAAGTGAATTGCATTGAACGCAGACTGGGCAAAAAAGACTAGCCTCAGAAGAGATGTTGTTCTCCGGTCATGAAGAGGAAAGTGCTCCACACACAAGAAGTCGCACTGATGTTATCCAAAGAAGCACAAAAAGCATTTATAGTATGTGAATCTCATGGACGGAGGATCATCAAAGCATCCTTGAAGACAAGAGAAAAGGGGATTAGGATGAATGCCACCCACTGCTACACGTGCACCAACGATAATAATCAAGACGATAAACATCAATTCAATTAGAGGCTGCAGTCAATCATCAAGAAATGCTCAACAAATGACGTGAGCATTCTGATAGGAGACCTAATCGCCAAGGTTGAGAGTGACAACACCGAATATCAAGACATCATGGGACAACATGGACAGGGAAAAAGGAACGAAAATGGTAAGAGATTTGCAAACCTATGTACCTTCAACAAACCGGTCATAGGCGGCACAATATTCCCACACAAACGCATACTCAAAGCTACATGGGTTTCACTGGATCACTCTACACTGAACCAGATCGACTATAGAAAACATGAAAACCAAGAAAGGAGTTGTCATGGCTTCAGATCATCACTTGGTAGTAGCCAAAATGAAGCTGAAACACACGAAGCACCGGTCAACTTGGCAGAAATCATCAAAAAGTTTAATATGAACCTTCTTCGGGGTATTGAAAAACGCAACGAATTTAAGATAGCCCTCAACAAGAATTTATGGCTGCGCCCAACCCTCTCAATGATGATCAAACTATTATGAAGAAAAATCGGAAAAGTATCAGAGAAGCGATAACTTCAACATATCATGAGGTTCTAGGCCATATGATTTTGAGATTGAGGCCACAACAACCCCTATAACAAGTAATGGATCTCTGAGGAAACTCTGAATGAGATTCAAGAAATGGAGAACAGGAAGTAAGCAGTCAATATCAGCTAAACAAGAGTATAAAAAATGAAGGCACATGCTGAATACACAGAAGCAAGTGAAGCGGGGCAATAAAGCTGACAATCGTAAATATGTGAAAGATTTAGTAATGATAACAGGTAAAGTTGCAAGAGAGGGGAACATAGGAAAGTTATCCAACATAACGAAGAAGCTCACTAGACAAGTACCAATGGACTATAAAGAAGAACACCTGATCAAGATACCGAAGAAAGGAGATCTCAGTAAGTGTGAGAACTACAGAGGTATTGTGGTGCGAGCTACTTATAAGTAGCATATGACGTGAGTGTCAACGTAATGTCTGGCGGCAGAAGATGGGAGAAGATCAAGAAAGGAAGAGTTAGAACACAATGGAAATTATATGAAACGCATGAATAGTGACAATGGATTGATGTTTTGCAACAGGAACAGTCCAGTTAGATATGATGAACTGATATTTTGCAAATTAACGATTTACGATATGGTTTTCCTACTTTACTGAGTAACTATGTAATTTTCGTTCTCGTTCACTACAGTATCACTCTACCCTCGAAACAAGGAAATGTCTTCAACAGAGTGTTGATGAACAGAATGAAAGACTTCGTAGACGCCCAACTTCGAGACTAACTGGCTGGATTCCATAGGGATCGATCGTGTACCGATCATAATGCAACATTACGGATCATTGTGGAACAATCAATTGAATGGAACTCACCACTCTACATCAACTTCCTTGACTACAAGAAAGCATTTAACTGAGTGAACAGGATGACGCTTTGGAGGCTTATTTGACACTATGGTGTGCCTGAAAATATAGTCAACAACATACGGAATTCTTATGATGGATTAAACTGCAAAATTGTGCATGGGGACAGCTCACAAACTCGTTCCAAGTAAGGATCGGCGTCAGGCAAGATTACTCAGTTTCATCCTTTCTCTTTCTCCTGGTGATCAACTGCATTATGAAGACGTCAACATCTGGGGGAAGCATGGGACACAGTGGACAGGCAGGATGCACCTGAACTTCACTAACGGTCTGGCCGTTCTAGCCCACACACAACAACAAATGCAAGAGAAGACGACCAGTGTAGCAGTAGCCTCCGCAGCATTAGGTCTCGACATACACACAGGGAAGAAGTAAGATTTCTTGATACAACACAACGCAATCACAATTGACGGAGATACTCAGGAAGATGTGGGAATTGTTGCATATCTGGACAGCATAATTAATAAACAAGTTGAGTCTGATGCAGATGTGATGACACAGATGGGCAAATCAAGGGCCGCATTTCTACAAGTGAAGAACATCTGGAACTCAAAACAACTATGAACTAACACTTAAGTCACAATTTTCTATACAAACGTCTAAACCGTTTTATTGTATGAAGTGGAAACTTGGAGGACTGCGAAAGCCATCATTCAAAATATACAGGTGTTTATTAACAGTTGTTCAGACAAGATACTCCGCGTCTGTTGGTCAGACATCGTCAGCAGCGTTTTACTGTAGGAGAAAACAAACCAGATTTCAGGTGAGAAGGAAATCAGGAAAAAGTGCCAGAGGCGAATAGGACACACTTTGAGGAAAGGACCCAACTGTGTCGCAAGACAAGCCCTCAAATAGAATCCTCAAGGCCGAAGAACACATTACACCGAGAATCGGAAGCAGACATGAAAAGAATGAACAGAGATTCGACAGAACTGGAAAGGAAGGCCCAGGACAAAGAAGGTTGGAGAATGCTGATCGGCGGCCTATTCTCCATTAAGTGTAACATGCACAAGCAAGTAAGTAACGTATACAATCTACAACATTGATAGACTTACTCCTTTAAACTTACAAATATGACCAAATCACTAAGTTACATATTTAATCCTTCCTAATATTAACTACATCGTGATCGATCGATAAAATTCAGTTAGCACTGATTACTAAAAACAAATACAGCTTCATTTACTTATCAGTAGTCAGTCGATATATATATTCAGCTTCTCTCCGAAGAACATTCAGATATCTTCACAGTTAAATGTGTATTATGACGCTCAACAAAAAATTACTATTGTTACAATGATTTGTGATGATCAAAGTTACTTACTCAATATGACTTAAATATAAATATATGTCACAACATCCGCAAATCATGTGATCACTGTTCAATAGTTCATGCATTAGATATGCGTGTTGGATAATGTCAATTTGTTTGTTTGTTTGTTTGAAAAAAGTAACCAATGAAACGCGTTCACAATAGTTATCCATTATTTCATCAATAAATTATTACTTGTCTTTAAATACTCTTCAATTGTCATGATCAGTTTACATAAATAATAATAATCATGAACAATTATAAAACAATAACAATTAGATATATGAGAATTTTGTTCATCACACTATGTCTATTCAATTATTTGTGTATATTATTTGCATCACGATTAGAATATCGTATTCAAAATGGTTATCCAGTGAATCTTGGTGAATTTCCAATGATTGTATTATTATTGGGCAATACACATTTATGTACTGGTACAATTATAGCACCGGATAAAATTTTAACAGCTGGTCATTGTGCATGCGGTGATCCAACATACGAAGTAGGTAGGCAAAAAAAACAATTGATTTTCGTTTGTTGTATTGATGCGTTGTAATGTGTATTTGTAGAGCTATACTACCTACCACTAACTCGGTATTGCGGAAAAAAAATCATTACCGGACATGAGACAAAGGGTATTGGGAGTGTTTGTGTCAATTTGCATCAAGCTCGGCTGCATCCCCTGCTATCCTATGCCATAATACTATGTGTACTGTCATATAGAGCTGAAAGTTTCCTTTGAGACCAGATGTTCGCTGTAATGAACATTGTGGATGGCTTGGCATTGCTTTGCTAAGTATTGCTAACAGTCTATATATAAATTTGGTTAGCAGGATGACCGATTTCATCTGGTGGTTGTTTTGCAACACTACTGATGACCATTGTCATTAGGGTGCTGTATTGCATATCATCATCGCTAATCAATCATGTAAGAGGGTTGGGTCGAAATAGCCTGTTCATACGGTGGATATTGATTGAAGCGATCATGAATCGGAAAAAATCAATATATGTATATATATATATATAAATGGTGTGAATGGTCCACCAGGGTGTCAGGTACCTGTGTGGTTGCACCACAGGATTGAGCCGAACTGTTCATGTCGAAATGCTGACACGTGAGCAGTCTCCTTGATTCTCCTGAAAACCAATGTAAAATTACCCTTGCCAGTTGAGAGTTAATTGATATAAATAAAAAAATAATCAATATGTATTTGTATCATAGTGTAAATACAATGCATATATGAGAAATACCAAAGTATTGAGTGGAATATATATCTGCGTAGTTAACTTTTAATCAATAGATAGTAGATTCGAACCCCATTATGCGTATCAATGTTTGGATAGATAGAAATCATCATTAACTCTTACACAACCAGTGTTACTTATAGCCGAGTATATAAATGTGTACTTGGCAAATAAGTTAGAAACTGAAATGACGGTGAGTATTTACAGCTCACAAAGTATTATGTTCTCTGAACTGGATGGTTTTATTGTAACTAACTAAGTGAGAGAACTATACACATTTTGAGTTAAGCACTACTACTGGTTCACAATTAAAAAAAAAACTGAACATAATTTGCTAATATCATTATCTGATATATCCTAATACTGTTGTCATTGTGAATTTATCCAAAGGTCGAGTTTAGTACGCATCAGTTAACTCCCTCCTACTATACAGGTGTGAAATATGGTCAATAAGAATAGAGGATATTTGTAGGTTACTAGTATTCGATCATAGGTATCTGATCGTATATTCTGGGACCGTCAAGTAAGCAATACCTGAATTAGGAAAAGGGAACTAGGTAAGGATAGCAGATCAATAGATGAAGTATTGGATCTTTATCAGTTGAGGTGGTTGCGACATGCATCACGTATGCCCAATCACTGACTGCATCGAGGAGCGATGTTTTTTGTAGTGTAGGAGTAGGTTGGAAGAAACCAAGGGGCGGCCAGACTAAAACATGGCATGAATCCATGAAGTCACTGACAACTGGATTGAATCATGTTGGTAGGTGTGTGGTGCTGTGGTGCGAACTACTTATAAGTAGTATATAGCGTGAGTGTCAACGTAAAGTCTGGTAGCATAATATGGGGGGAAGATCAAGAAAGGAAGAGTCAGAAAACAATGGAATTTGTATGAAACGCATGAAGAGTGACAATGGATTGATGTTTGGCAACAGGAACAGTCCAGTTCCATAGGATGAACTGATCTTTTGCAAATGAACGATTTACGATATGGTTTTCCAATTTTACTGAGTAACTCTGTAATTTTGGCTAAATACAATTCGGTTGCCCCACCTGTGTTCTCATTCACTACAGGTGTAGAGTACCTGATTGAGCTCCGTGAAGCAATCGTAATAGGCGGTTAGAGACTTTGTGTGACACGGCTAAAAATCGTTTGTAATGGCGCAGATGCATCCATTGTCTGTGTTATAATCTTCTGAAGCCCTCATCACCTTTATCTTTCACTTTTTAAATTTATTTCACTGGATTACACTTCTTGAATAACATCTTCACTCCCTAATCTCTCCGATGAATGTCAGTACTTCTACTACTACCTTTATTACTATAGGATTTGAATTGACAATTCCATCTCTCTGTGCTAATATGATATGACCACTTGAACTTATGTACATACGTACGAAGTTCTCTGTAATCCAACTCAAAAGCCTTAAGAATGACATCCTTGTCATAAATAGGAATAATGAATAAGTTTAAATGTTGTCCTAAGTGTATGTTATATGTATACACATGACATTGAAAAAAAAACTAACTAATTAACTGCAATTTACTGAAATTTCAGCTGTTTTACTTAGCCAATTAACAAAAAAAAATACAATCTATTGTGTAGAATATATTCATTCTATGCATGACATGACTTATCTATCAATCAACCAACTAGTATAGAATATTTGGATTTGAAAAAAAATAAGTGTTAAGTACATTGGTTTTATATTGATAATAGTGATCAATATCAATCAATGATTCAAGATTATTATTATTATTATTATTATTATTATTATTATTATTATATAATGATAATCAAATATCGATCGATGTATGGTCATGACTCTTCGCGTCAATTAGTTGATGCTGAATAAGAATAAAATGTAAGGTTCAGTCAGATGCAACGTAGAACTTCGTACGTAAGTACATTAGTTCATGTCGCCATACCACATCAGCACAGAGATGTAATTGTCAATTCAAATCCAATAGTAGAAGAGGTAGTAAAGGTATTAGAAGTAATCGGAGAGGTTAGGATTAGAAGATATTATTCAAGAAGTATGATTTAATGAGAAAAGTTTAGAAAGTCAAAACTAGAGGTGTTGAAGAATCCAGAAGATTAGGATTTGAGAGAACACAAAGAATGAATGCACCGGCGCCATTGCAAACAGTTTTAAGCCATGTCAATCAGGGTATCTGACCATCGATTATCATCATCTCGCGGACCCCAACCAGGTAGTCTGCATCTACCAACATGACTCAGTACACTTGTCAATGACTTCATGGATTTGTGCCATGTTTTGGTTTGGCCGCCCCTAGCTTTCTTCCAACCTACTCCTACACCACAAAACATAGCTCGTCGAGGCAGTCGGGGGTTGGGCATACGTAACACATGTCCAAACCACCTCAACTGATGAAGTTTCATTACTGCGTCTATTGATCTGCCATTCTTACCTAGCACCCGATTCCTAATAACAGCGTTGCTCACTCGGTTGTCCCAGGATATACGAGCAATGCTTTGAAGACACCTATGATCGAAAACCAGTAACATACGAATATCTTCTACTCTCATTGGCCATGTTTCACAGACATAAAGTAAGACGGAGCGAACCACTGTAAGGTTGGCTATGCGTTGTTCGCTACTCTCTTCTTTCTGCTTGTTTCTAATTATTCGCGTGTTTTTTTGTTGTTGTTGGTAAAATTCCCTTTTCATAAAAATTAAAATGATTTATTCATGTTTGATAACAAACCAATCTATATTCATTCACCTAATATTTATACTATTCAAAATTATGATGATAATTTAAACCGTTTTAGGAAAATATTCAACATAACACAACTATTTGTCAGCCAGTCAATGATAATATAACAATCAGAGAGTTATTTTTTATAATAGTTCATAAGTTTGAATGATCTGTTTGCCAAATTGTCTAAACAGTATAACTCTGAATTTATTGGTCTATATCTTGAAGCCTGTACACATAAAGTATTTTATAAACTAAAGCGTTGTATTCACTGATTGCTGGTGTCTTATCTATGGTTGTCACAGCTGTTATATTTACATGTCGTTGCTGATAATGTATGTGTTGAGTTTGTGAACTTACTGATTGGATTTAACGATCGAAAATCATTCAATTCAAAAGTATGATCAGAGAAGACTGGCGTGTAATGAAGAGTTATTGGCCCTTCAAAATCGTGTTACCATTAGACTAATAAATAAACGCATGGATATATTAATTTATACAGAAACTTTATAAAAATCATAAACGGTTGCTTGACGAATTTGCTTAAATTGACAAAGTTAACAGTTTTTAATATCGATTGAAATTGATATTGAGTTGGTCAGTCACAACGAAGATCATCGTACGCACGTACATAAGTTCAGGTTGCTACATCACATTAACACCGAGACGCAAATGTCAGTTCAAACCACATAATGGTAGCGATAGTAGAAGTATTAGTAGTAATGGAGAAGATTAGGGTTCGAAGATTATGATTCGAGAAATATAATTCAGTGAGATAACTTTAGAAAGAGAAAGATAGAGATGATGAGGAATTCAGGAGGTTAGAATTTGAGAGAACACTGTGAATGGATCCACATGCGCCCTTGCAAACGATTTTGAGCCATGTCACTTAAGGTATCTAGCCATCAGTGACTTTCGTCTCGCGGACCCCAACCAGGTAGTCTACATCTACCAACATGACTCAGTCCAGTTATTGGTTACCTCATGCATTTGTGCCATGCTTTGATTCGGACGCCCCTAGTTTTCTTCTAACCTACTCCTACACCACAAAACATAGCTTGTCGAAGTGTTGGTTGGTTCGTTCGTTAATGTACTTCTGATCAAATTGAGCAACCAATTATTCATAACTCTGTTTTATCATAACTGCCCACAAGTAGCCGTATAATAAACAGATTAAAAGCATTCCATACGATTTATCAAATATCGTCAATTTTGTCTTAATGAAGATTGCTCTCATTTCTTTCATACACAAGATCACACCTAGTCTTTGTATTCAAACGAAGTTTTTGTAATATCACACTCATTCTCTTTTAAATCCCGAGAGAAAATTTAATAATCTTACTTAAATTTTTACATTAATTCTTTTCAACTTTCTTCAACCATTCATTATATTTATTGATTTTTTTAAAATGTGAATCAGTTTAAAATGTAACATTTTTAGCTTACTTCTCCATATTGAAATAATAAATATATATTAATTCATGTTCACTGATCATGTTCAGGTTACTAATCTGTCAACAATTAATCTCATAAT